ATATGCTGACTCTGTAAACCGCTTAGAGAGGGCTGAAAAGCCCTGTGAAGCGGTATATAAGTCTAACTGCTATTGCTATCAATTGGGGAGCCGACCGGTGACAGGGAGCCACAGAAGAGGGATGAAAGAGCCACATGCGGCTCCAGAGCTGCAGGTTGCCGATCCCTGGTCTAGTGGTTAAGGCACCAGGGGTAGATACCAAAAGACCCCAAGTTCTAATCCTATTCATGAATGTCAGCTGGATGACTTTGGGCCAATTTCCAGGAGACAATGAGTTCAATGTTGCAATAGTAACTGCCTTGAGTTATTTATAAAAATAACAAAGATGGAATATAAATAAATATTGTAGGATTTTAGTCAAAACATGCTATTTTTCCCTTTAAAAGGTAGGTATGAGTCTAGCATAAACACGCCAATACATTTATTTTAGGTGATTATTTTAGGTCTCCTGGAACAGCCTCAAATTCAACCATCGCTAGAGCTGCAAAATATGTTGAAGAATACTTTCTATATATTGTCCCCCTCTGCTTGCAACTGTAGTTTCTTTTAATAACAGGTCCCTTTAATCTTGGCTGTAGCCTTGGTTTTTTTCCAAGGTGCTGCCTTCTTCAGCTGTAGTTACTCTATAATTGTTGGGAAACTCCCAGACAGACAGTGAGGAGGAGTCAAGTAGGGAAATATCCTTGAGTCCTTGCATAGATCCCTCTGAAGTTCCATTAAACCTTATCCGATTGTTCCCCAAGGGAAGAGCCTGGAGAAACTTGTAAGATAGGCAGAACATAATAAAGGACCTGACTTGGTCCTTGCACATGTGTGGATCTGGTTGCTTACACCTGACAATAACCCAGGGATTCCCTGGTGGTCCCCTTCCAAGTACTGATCAGGTCCAATGCTGCTTAACTTTCCATGGCCAGCCCCAAAACGGTCATCAGATGAGCTGCTGTGGCGCAGTGGTTAGAGTGCAGTACTGCAGGCTATTTCTGCTGCCTGCCAGCTGCCTGCACTTTGGCAGTTCAAATCTCAAGGTTGTCACTCAGCCCTCCATCCTTCCCAGGTGGGTAAAATGAGGAGCCTATTGGGGGCAATAGGCTGATTCTGTAAACCATTTGGAGAAGGCTGTAAAGCTGTATATAAGTCTCAGTGCTATTGCTATCAGCTGCGACTGATATACCCTGAACGTCGCAAAATATACCTGAAGCGTAACACAGTATGTTTTATGCCCAAGAGGGGGTGGCCTTCAGTGGCTGCCCACTGGGTTAATTAGGACAATGAAGTCACCTGAAAAAAAGTTGAGAACATCTTCCTCAGTGCAGTCATACGGCAGGCCTTGGGCCCGAATCAGATGCACTTCCCTCTGTCCTTCTGCTTCTTCCACAGAAAGTTCGTATTCTGGGGGAAAGTGATATCCCTCTTGATAAGATGACTCGGGATCCTGAAAAGAGAGACAGGAATATTTTTTTAAAATCTTGTAACTGTATTTTGGGAACTGGCAGGATTGTAACAGTTCCTTTGGAAGCTTCAGAAGCCAAAAAGTAATGAAGTGTTAATATAATATAATAAGTGTTAGTTAATATATATATATATATATATA